ATTATAAAATATTACTGCATCTACAAATAATATCCAAACCAGAAAGTAATGCATCTTAATGTGTTTTAGAAATGTTGCCTAAAATACACAATGACAGTGAGCATTTTTGTATGCTTTACTAAATATTCTACAAAATGTATAAAATATATCTTATCTTTTCCTGATTTCATGAACCTAAGATTGACACTTCTGCCTCATGGGTCAGTATTTTGATTTGCAAGACATGATTTGACTGGATGAAAAAAAAAAAACCCACCTGTGATTGGCTGGTGATGTGGTTCATTTACATACAACTTGGGTTGCGAACGCAGAGACAGAGCTGCAGAGAAAATTGAGTGAGGAGGCTGGGAGGGAGTGAGCGTGTGTGATTTGAATGAACGCGTTTAAAATTTTGCCCGTTAATATTGATATCTGCTTTCAAATTAGTGTTGCTGCACGCTCAAGCTGGTGGCACATATGTAACACCATAAAATACTAGCCGATACTTATATTGTATTAAGCAGTATGAACAGTATTCATCATAGGAAATAAAATCATTTTACCTGGGCTCCCTGCAAGGAAGCTGTTGCATTCCAATACTTCTTTGCCTCATGAACAATACTTTCATGAGTGATACCTGTGTTAAAAAAAATAAAATGCATAAAAACCAAAGCAATGCATGTTGTTGGGGAATGTTTTCCTCACAGGCTTTGGGTAAAGTGTAAAACCAACGATCATATATTTATGTACAAACATCCATSTGTTGAAAGGTCAAAGAGCAGTCTTACCAAGCCCGTGCTGCATCATCCACACTTTCAACTCGATGAGGCTGTGGGCGTAGAAACACTCGTCTTCTCTCACGCAGCCATAACGCACTTCATGGCGACAAAGATCCAGCTGGCTTTGAGGACTCAAAGGTCTGATTTTGGAGTAGCGAACTGAGTTCTCCTTTAAAATGTGGACAAGGCACCTTAAAGACAAACACACACAAAAGTCAATGTGATTATTGCTCAGATTAGACACTGAAAATTTGACTACCAGCTGTCAAATTTCGTCTGACTCACTTATGATCTTCAAAGTTATGCTTTGTCACTGGATGAGAACAAAGTGAAGGGTCATCTTTGTTGGTTTTGCTGATTATTCTGGGCTTGTGGTCAAAGCACACCTGCAGAACAAAAAAGTACTGAAATGAGCACTGGAAACAACTAACAAATCAAGCTTATTATTTCAGATCCTT